GAGGCGGCGGCGGCAGGCAGCCGTGTTCCCTATATCTGTTTGGACGCTCAGTGTGCACCTGGACGAAGAAGCTTCGTTGTTTCGTCGGGGGGGGCAAAGCCATGCTACTGATTCACATCCCGAAGCTGGCTCTTTCGTCCCCCCCGGCCGATCCGCGATTTGTTCCGATGTTTTGGCATGCAAAGCCCAAATGGACGGGGTACTATTTTCTTCCCACACAGCAGAAAGGAGGCAGGCGGATGGCCCGACGTGGAGGGGCTCGTGAACTGCCCATGAATCTCGTCCAGAGAGGATCATGTTTGATTTCCTTTCAGATCCGACTACGACGACATGCCACTGGCACCCGGTCTCTTTTCCTGAACCGTCTTCTTCTATTTTTGGTGGGGGGGGGGGGGTTCTCTATCTATTGCCTCATCCCCCACCTGCTCCTCACGATCATTGTCCAGCGGACAGCTTTCCTCCTCTTGTTCCACGCCTGCTATAGACCGAGCTGCGCGTTTGCCCTTTTTCCTGATTACTGGGGCGCTCACCGAGCGGGAGGGCCATGGCGCATCTGTGTACCGTGCTGTGTGACCGTTCCGGCGAATGAGAAAGTTTGGTGAGGACAGAGAGGAAGAGAGGGGGCGGGGGGAGCTGATGGGTCCATTCAAATGTCCAGAGCGCAATGCTTGTGCTATGTATGCTCGCTGCTTTCTCATGGGCACCGCTGGCAGTATATGTCTGGTGCCCGTTGTCCTCCTCCTTCTCCTCTTCCTTGCGCTGGTGTCAATGGCATCATGCACGACCTACACCTATGCATGTCCCGGGAAACGGGTAGGGTGCGAATTCGTGGGCGCAACAGACGGAATCACGGCCTCGGAGTCTGGACGGAGACGTTCCGACGGGGCTTTTTGTCAATGTTTGTTTTCATTCGTGTTGAAGGAAGCGTAGTGCAGCAAGCATGGTGTGGTAATTGGTATCATTTATATGCTTGGTTCAGCTCGGACTGAACTGCCCCGCGACGCCGGCCGTCCGCTCGTTTGATTTTCCTGGTTCCTTGATTTCCTGATAACGCCGTTGTGTGTGCACCCGCTCTGGTGTCCCTTGTAGTGTCGTGGGAGATTCTCGTGTTAGGGGGGAGGGGTATCTAGTTGATGAGGAGGGAGACCTGGCTGGTTGTCAGGCACGGTGTCGTCCTTGGAAGAGTTTCTGCTCGGAAAGGGGGTGGGTGGGACGTACGGCCATGAAGACGCAGGCGAGGCTGACGTAGGGGCTCAGACGCTCGCCTACGCGCGCGAATTTCCAGAATATGCCGACCACGCTGAGTCTATATGTAAGCTTGTGCGTTCCTCGACTAGGTCCGAAGTGAGGGAGGGGAGCGCACCCGTCTTTGCGGTTGTCCATGAAGGAGGGGAAGATCTGGTGTGTGTAGGCCGAGGTGCAGATCAGGAGGAGGATGACGAGAAGGAGTGATTGAAAGTTGAAGAGGGCGGACTTTTGAAAGCGTTAGTGGAAGGCGTTTTCATATGCAAACTGGGCTTACCATTTTGGCGGTCCTGGGGAGCAGCGAGCTGGATCCCTTTTGCGATGCGATGGCGGAGGTGAAGCTGTCGCGAGAGCTGCCTGGCTGCCTGCCGTGTCTAAATGGCAAGGTGGCCCAGGCCCAGCTGGGTCGTTTTGAGCTAGCATCGGATTACTCATCACGACGACCCCACGATTATCGAAGCATGGGCCACTTCTGATTTCTGGGTGTAGATGGAGCTTGTTTCTTGCCAACTATTGAGCCTTGCCAGCAACACTCACGCGCGCCTCTCATCAAATCCACTCCTTCCGTGTTGAAGCCTCAGTGAGTGAATGTTGTGAACCTCATCGCTGGTTCGATTTCGAACACAACTCATTGGCGCCAAAGAAACGAACTCTTCCCAGCCTCTCGAGACCGCCCTGACGACCCTCTACAAACTGATATCCTACCACGTTATCCGCCAATATGGAGCCTCGCGCGCGCGCCGGCAAGAATGTCGGGCGCATGAACTTTTCGTCCAACGAGCGTCAGTCTTTTCCTGCCCTTTTCCCACTCGCCAACCCCTCTAAGGCTCAGATTTACTGACGTGGCCTGCCCCCTCTCTAGTTGGCCAGCTTCTCTTCGCGCACGGCGACGTGCGCAACCCGCTACCCGAGACGATCCGCGTCCTCGACGAGATCCTCACCGAGTTCATCCAGGGCACGGCGTTCGAGGCGGCGCGCAACGCCAGCTACGCGGGGCGGCAAAAGGTCAAGTGGGAGGACTTTGAGTTTGCGTTTCGCAAGAACCCGGCCTTCCTGGGCAAGGTGCAGGAGGTGTTCCAGAAGAAGGGCGAGATTGACAACGCCAAGAAGATCTTTTCCAAGGAGGACGAGACGTCGTTCATCAAGGATACGGCGGGCGAGGAGAGCAAGCGGGACAAGGGCGCAGCGGGCACCGGCGCCGGCGGAGGGCCGCGGCTGCCGCAGGACGAGGAGGAGCTCGGCGAGGCGGACGATGTCGACGACGCCGTGTCGGAGGCGCCGTCGAGAAAGTCGCGCAAGGCTTAGCGGGCGTAGCGCGAAGCTCGCGGCTCGCGTGCGCGCGAATGCACTTGACGGGTCCTTCGTGGCACGGCATTTCAGAGGGTGAGAATGGTCTGCGGGAGGCATAGCGATGGCGTCTGGCGTATTGGGATTTGAACTTGGTCCACGAGGGAATTGTAGTGACAGACTGGGCTGAAGGGTAGTAGAGCATTCACACAAAAGCAGCAGTTACGTTACGAAATCAAAGGGCAGAATCGGAAACAGCGGGCATGTGCTGTGACTTTCTAGCGAGAAAGGTGGCCAGCGAGAAAGGTACATCTGACTGTCTACGTGGACAATCGCAGCCGTCGTCCAGTCCATCGCCAACGTCATGGCTGCGTGGCGCTGGCTAACCTGGAAGGAAAGTTGCGGTGGTCAATCAATGCATCTAGCAACTTTCAACGCCCGAATCGCTGAGCTGGCCCAGTCTAGCCGCTGTGGACCCAACGACGATGGCCGAATGAACGGCGACACGCTCGGTACCGATATCGGGGATGGATATAGATGGCCAAAAAGCGGCACTCGGTAAGGCCCATGCAAACATGATCCTAGTCGGTCCTTCGCCCTCTCTTTGCCCGCCCTCGTACT